GGGTATTAAGGTAGATCCTAGGAAGATCGAGGCAATTTAGAGTTGTCCTTGCCCTACCATAGCGACCGAGATCAGGAGTTTCCTGGGGTTAGCAGGTTATTATCGTCGGTTTATGGAGGGATTCTCATCTATTGCAGCACCTTTGACTAGATTGACCTAGAAGGGTGCTCCGTTTTGGTGGTCCGATGATTGCGAGGCGAACTTTCAGAAGCTCAAGACAGCTCTGACTATTACACCAGTTTTAGTGTTGCCTTACGGTTCGAGGATTTATAATGTATATTGCGACGCTTCACGCGTTGGCCTGGGTTGTGTATTGATGCAAGAGGGGCGAGTTATTGCATATTCTTCACGTCAGCTGAAGCCCCACGAGAATAATTACCCCTACATGATTTGGAGGTTGTTGTGATAGTTCATGCTCTTAAGATTTGGAAGTATTATCTTTATGGAGTGTCCTATGAGGTTTACACCGATCATCGCAGCTTGCAGCATTTGTTCAAGCAGAGGGATCTCAATTTAAGGCAGTGCAAGTGGCTTGAGTTACTAAAGGATTATGATATTACCATCCTTTATCATCCGGGCAAGGCGAATGTGGTTTCAGATGCCTTAAGCAGGAAGGCTGAGAGTATGGGTAGTTTGGAATTAATTTCAGTGGAGGAAAGGCAATTAGCTTTGGACATTCAGTCCTTAGCTAACAGACTTGTAAGGTTGGATATTTTTTAGCCTAGTCGAGTTTTTGCGTGCTTAGTGGCTCAGTCTTCATTACTTGAGCGGATCAAGGCTCGTCAGTATGATGATCCGCACTTGTTAGTTTTTAGGGAGATGGTACTATAGGGTGGTACCAAGGAGTTTACTATTAGTAAGGATGGTGGTATGCGGCTCCAGCGTCGCCTATGTGTTCCTAATGTTGATGCCTTGAGGGAGAAGCTTCTATAGAAGGCACACAGTTCTCGGTATTCTATTCATCCAGGTGCTACGAAGATGTATCGCAACCTGAGGCAGGATTATTGGTGGCGGAGGATAAAGAAGGACATAGTTGAGCATGTAGCGAGGTGCCTAAATTGCCAGCAGGTTAAGTATGAGCACCAGAGGCCAGGTGGCCTACTTCAGTAGATGGTTATACCTGAGTGGAAATGGGAGCGCATTACTATGGACTTTGTAGTTGGGTTGCCACGGACTTTGAGGAAGTCTAATGCATTTTGGGTCATTGTCGATAGGTTGACCTAGTCGACACACTTTTTTCTGGTTGTGACTACGTATTCTTCAGAGAGGTTGGCCCAGATTGATATTCAGGAGATTGTTCGGTTGCACGGTGTGCCTATTTCCATCATTTCAGATAGAGGCCCTCAGTTCACTTCGCACTTCTGGAGAGTAGTTCAAAGCGAGTTGGGTACCCGGTAGAGCTCAGCCTAGCTTTCATTTGCAGACCGACGAGCAGTCGGAGCGGACAGTTCAAATTCTGGAGGATATGCTTAGAGCATATGTCATTGACTTTGGAGGTCAGTGGGATAGATTCTTACCCTTGACCGAGTATGCTTACAACAACAGTTATCAGTCTAGCATTGAGATGACTCCATTTGAGGCTTTATATGGTCGACTATGCCGTTTGCCCATCGGATGGTTTAAGCCCAGCGAGGCTAAGTTATATGGTACTAATTTAGTGAGAGATGCCTTGGAAAAGGTAAAGTTTATTCAGGAGCGACTTCGCACAGCACAGTCCAAATAGAAGAGTTACGCAGATCAAAAGGCGCGTCATCTATCATTTATGGTGGGCAAGAAGATTCTCTATTTTGCCGAGGAAGGGGATCATGTGGTTCGGGAAGAAGGGAAAGCTGAGCCCGGTTGGCTGGGTATTATCACCGTTTTATGGAGGGGTTTTCGTTTGTTGCATCCCCATTGACTAGATTGACGCAGAAGGGTGCCCCATTTAGGTGGTCTAATGAGTGTGAAGAGAGATTTCAGAAGCTCAAGACTGCCTTAACTACAGCTTCAGTTTTGGTTTTGCCTTTTGGGATCGGGTTCTTATGCAATCTGTTGTGATGCTTCACGAATTGGCATTAGATGTGTGCTGATGGAGGAGGGTTGAGTGATTGCTTATGCTTTGCGTCAATTGAAGGCCCATGAGAAGAACTACCCAGTGCACGATTTGGAGTTGGCAGCCATTGTTGATGCACTCAAGATTTGGAGGTATTATCTTTACGGCGCGGTCTTGTGAGGTGTTCGCCGATCACAGGAGTCTCCAGCACTTATTCAAGCAAAAGGATCTGAACTTAAGACAATGGAGGTGGTTAGAACTACTAAAGGACTATGATATCACCATTTTTATCATCCGTAGAAGGCCAATATGGTGGCCGATTCTTTTAGTAGGAAGGCTGAGAGCATGGAGGTCTTGCTTATACCCTAGTTGGGGAGAGACCATTAGCATTGAATGTTCAGGCTTTGGCCAACAGGTTCGTGAGGTTGGATATTCCGGAGCGTATAAGGTTCTTTCTTGTGTGGTGTCACGATCGTCCTTGTTTGAGCTCATCAAGGCGCGTCAGTATGATGATCCTGACTTGCTTGTCCTAAGGGACACAGTGCAACACGATAATGCTAAGTATGTAACTATTGGAGATGATGAGATATTGAGGCTTTAGGGCAGGATCTGTGTTCCAAACGTGGATGGGTTACGAGAGTTGATTTTGTAAGAGGCTCGTAGCTTGCGGTATTCCATTCATCCAGGTGCCGCAAAGATGTACCAGGATATGAGGCGGCGCATGATGAAGAGGGATATTGTTGAGTATGTTTCTCAGTGTTTGAACTATCGGCATTTTATGTATTGGCATGAAATAAAAAATGAAGAATAAATAGATCTATTTTATGATAGGAAATATCAAGTGAAATTTAAAACCCAACATTTTAATTAGGCGAAATACATAAACAACCCCTCCAAGTTGTCTACGACGGTCAGTTGAACAGCTCAACTGAGACTATTTCCAGTTAAACACTTCAAGTACTTACAAAGTATATCAAGTAAAAACTTTGCGCTGACATGGCAAATCAATTGTGTCTCACTACAAATTGAGCGTGTGAGGACATGAATTGTGTTCTTTTCCTTTTCTTTTTAGTTTAAAAAAATAACCTTTATTTTTGTGGACCCACATACCTTCATCTTTACTTCCCCTTCTTCCAAAAAATTTTCACCATAGATGAAAAACAAGAAAACCCAAAGCAAACCAATATCATCCCACATACCTTCATCTTTACTTCCCCTTCATCAAAAAAAATTTCACCATAGATGAAAAACAAGAAAACCTAAAGCAAAACAATGTCATACCCCACCAAAGCTTATGATTTCATATTATATAAGTAGACCCTTTTTCGCTTTTCAATGTCATATCTGAGTTTTATATATTTTCAAGATTACTTACATAAGCAAAGAGAAAAAGAAAGAGAGAAACTTCGCCCAAAAAAGAAAATGGCAACAGTAGTTGATGCTTGTGTTTGTGAGATTACAAAGCTATGTGAAAAGGTGAGAACCAGAAGCCTTTTCTTGTTAAAATCCCAGAAGAAGAAAAAATCAGGGGACAAAATGGAAGAAAGCCAGAATTCTTCTTCTTCTTCTTCAATGGCAGAGAGCAAGAATAAAAACACAATGCGTGAAGCAATTGTGTTCTTGCTCATGGACCGTTTTGCACCATAGTTATTAGAACCTTCAAGGTTCAATCTAAATTTTTCTTTGCCCAATTTTTTGCTGATGAAATGGTGGTCATGGGTTCAACGAGTAAGTGGAAGGGTTTGAGAAAGCTTGGAAGAAGAGTTAGGGGAAGGAGGAACGCTGGTTTAGGAGAAGAAGTTTTTTTTCTTTTTTAAATGTATTTTTTTGTTAATTACATGTGTCAAATTCTTATGGCGAAATTACACGTGTCATTTTTTAATTGGTTCATTTGCTATGTCATCAGCAAGTGCAACTCACGCATATGGCCTGCTGTACTCAGGTGTTTACTTGACCTACTTAATAGCCACTTGAAGTGTTTAGCTGGAAATAGTCTCAGTTGAGGTGTTCAACTGACCGTTGTGGACAACTTGGAAGGGCCGTTTATGTATTTCGCCTTTTAATTATATTGGTGAAAAAACAAAAATACTTTTCTCTATTACTCTATTTGCACAGTTTTTATAATAATTAACTTACTACTCACTTTCTGATTCTCTCAAATAGTAATTAGAACATGAATCACATGTAGAATAGATAAATCTATCTTTGTGAATTGACATCTTTCTATATTATTATTTTGATAGAGTTTAAAATTTACATACGCTAGTAACTCGTCAATATACAAGTTGCAAATATTCTCTCGATCTAACAAAAGATTAAGCGGATTGAAAAGTATTAGCCAAAAATCATTCTGTTTCAACCCATAGAAACAAAAATAAGACAAACATGTTGTACTATCATAAAACTTGCTATCTTTATATCTAGTAGTTTAGGCCATCTGCCAAAACAGTAAATAAAAACCACTTTGTAATGACCGTAAGAATTCAGTGGCCCCACGAGCCAAAGTAAACTGTTAGAAGCAAAAGAGACACAGTACGAAAAATAATCAGAGGACCAAAGCAAATTGACGTAACCATAAGCCAAGTAAGCAGCAAATTTAGCAGTGAAAATTCAGATTCATGATTCTAACATAATGCCAGGACTGTAGAATCCCCTAACCCAGTAAATAAACCTCTGGACATTTAGTTCTCATCCCCTAGCCCTTTATTTCTCTCTCAACATCCTCAAATCTGCTAGAAAATTGCTCCTTTCCATCCAAATCTACCAACAAGAGTAGAAGAAGCGTCTAACCGATTTACCAAAACATATTAGCAATCTCAATGATAAGTAAAATAAAAGGCACGCAGTTGCTGTCAACATGACACAAACCAGTACAATATGCTCTCACATTTTATACATTAGCTTTGAAGTCGTGATTTGAGCTCGTCAGCCACCGCATCAATGAACTCTTCGGTGCTTAGGTAATGATCTATAGAGAGCCTATAAGTTTTTTGAAGAGCAAAATATGAGAATAGCAACTCCTAGATAAAAGCTTAAAGAAAGAAATATAAACAACAAAAGACAAGAGGTAGACTTGGATCCGTGGATGATAAGTGCAAGATCTTTCTTCAAATGTGCCAACATACCTTGCACTAGGAAATCACTCTGTACATCACCATCGTAGTTCTTGCAAGCGCATACGTAACCACCTTCACTTTTTAAAGCATAAGCAACCATATCATTGATAAGACGGTGTTCAAAGTCAAAGCATTAAAATGTCAATTTTATGTGCAGGAAATAATACGACCGGTTTCATAAATTCAAAACCGAATGCTCACCAGATTCTTGCTTCCTCAAACTTTGACTTCCAATTTGCTTCATAAACCTCTTGAAATATGTCCTTGAACCTTCAGATGTCAAAAGAAAAATAAAATGGAATAAGGTGTTATTGTAGTCCATATATGATATGCAAGGACAAAAGAAAAGAAGAGTAGATCGATACTCGGGCTGCATACCTCCCATCATACTTCTTAAGGATGGTATTCTTTGTACTAAGATAGAGAGGCCATTTCTTTTGTAATGCCATGTTCATTGAAGCTTCAGCAAATGAGCGAATGGACTGCATGACATCAACAAAGTGACATCAAAATGATGCATATAAGTCTATGAAATTATATGTCAATTTTGGTAGCAAATCAAACATTCTTAGAAAGAAACCTCGTCTGTGTTATACATGGATAGAGCTACTCCACCAGCACCCGTAAAGTTATAAACTGCTAACTCGGTCTTCTCATCCTTCCCTTCCGGTACTGCAGAAAGGGAATACGTTTGAGCATACATTTTCTAAATAAGGGTTGCTCTGATGGTAAGCAACCTCCACTTTCAACCAAGAGGTTGTGAGTTCGAGTCTCCCCAAGAGCAAGGGGTGGAAAGTTCTTGGAGGGAAGGATGCTGAGGGTCTATTTGGAAACAGCCTCTTTACCCAGGGTAGGGGTAAGGTCTGCGTACATACTACCCTCCAGACCCCACTAAGTGGGATTATACTCGCTTCTTGTTGTTGTTGTTATACATTTTCTAAATAGGTTATAAAAACTTCTAACATTTAGCACTAAGATCAAATAGGTAAAGAATAATTGAAGGAATAACTTTACCGAAAACTAGTTTGAGTTTTCCAGCTCCTTGAATAACTGTATCAGTTGCTCGATATTGATCTCCAAAAGCATGTCTACCAATGCATATCTGTTTAGACCAACCTTATAGAAAGGATGGGAAAACCCAGCCAGATTGCTTAATGTCTTATGTTCAAATGAACTTAAAAAGGAATCAAAGCAGTAGCCAAGTATAAGAAATCAAAGATACCTGGGACAAGTCGGAGTATGTTTTTGCAGAGAATTGGCTCTCTAAAGACCGTGCCTGCAGTAAATGCCAATTTCCATAAGCGATTTTCAAGTAACCCATATGTTTGGAGATACAATGAGCAAGAAAATAATAAGTAAAGAATCCACAATCACCATTTAGAATGTTCCTAATTGTTCCATTTGGGCTCCTCCACATATATTTCAAATCGAACTCCTTCATGCGTGCCTCATCTGCAAAGAAACAGTTACATGATGTGATATTCTAGTTATAATTTTTACAAGTAATTGATTGACGCCAATAATATGAGTGAAGTTGAAAGAACGAAAAGCTTCCAGATGGACACTATAATAAGCACCTGGAGTTAGGGGTGTTCATAAAAATCCGAAAAACGAAAAAACGAACCAAATCAAAAATCAAACCAAACTGACCAAAAAAATCGATACTTTTTGGTTTGGTTTGGTTTTGATTTTGAAATTTAAAAACCGATCAAATTTGGTTTGGTTTTGGTTTTAATAAGAAAAACCGAACCAAACCGAATATAGGAGTAGCTATTTTAAATTTAGAATTACACCTATATATGTGTATACTTTTATACAAAATTTCAAAAATTTTATAGTAAATGTTAATCGTTCGCACTTTTAGTACAGTTCTTTACCTTTACATTCTAGTTTGATTGGCAGTTTTCTTTTGTTAAGTTTAAGAATCTATTTCATGTTAAAAATAATATATTTTTAATTGAGTCCGTAAATCATTCATCACTATTTGATTCAATTGTCATCAATATATCTTGGTAAATAATAGATTTCTCAAAGGGCAATTGATTTGATAGTGTTACGTTAAAAATATGGTCGCTGAAATATGTGTTTGGTAGTGTATGTCTTATATTTAAGAAAAAACCGACAAATAACCGAAAAACCGACATAAACCGAATCGAGAAAAAACCGACTTAATTGGTTTGGTTTGGTTCTAATATTTGAAAAACCGACTTACTTGATTTGGTTTCTTTTTAAGGAAAACCCGATCCAAACCGAACCATGAACACCCCTACCTAGAGTAATGGTTGAACATTTGATCCCTTCCCCTAAAAGAGGACATCACTACTCATAAAGCAGGGTATTTAAGCATGTATACCTACCCTTTCACGCTGGGTCCTGTCGATCCAACTCTAGGTCCCATAGATCCAGTTATTCTTGATTTTTGACAACTGTTGGCCCTATTAAAGGTTAGTTTTGAAGATTGACAAAGGAACTCAGGATGAACCAGGTCCATCACTCAGGTGCACAAAAACAGGCAGATTCGAGCATGTGGGTTGCACGTGAAGGAGATAAACTTAACTTGGTGTATTTAATATCTCCTGATCGAAAAGGTTGTTTAATTGATGTGGAGAAGGAGTCCTTAATCAAAGAGAACACTATCCAAGATAGGGAAGGAGTTAGAAGTTGAAATCAACTAGAACTCTTCCACCAAGGAAGAGTTGCATCAGAACTCTAGTTATTTCTTCATCTACTAACTCTATAAATTGCAGGATGTTCTCACATTAAAGTGTTGCACAAAAAACGCAGAAGATAAACGTGAATTGGGAGCAAAATAGCAAGGCCTTTTGCAAGCAGTTCGTGTGTGATTCAAGTGTGCAAACCTGAAGCTACATGAACCAGATTGAAGAACCAGCTCCATAAAGAGTTTTATGTGTCTTTCTTTATTTCTAGTTCAATTGTAGTAGGTGTTTTCATATTATACCTTTCAGCTTTATCTAGAAGCAATTGTAATAGGTAATTTGAGTATTCAAGTTAGAGTTAACTTGAAGTTGTCGCAGCAGTTAGAGGCTGGTTGCCACAACGGGATTAGAGTTAATCCTTAGGTTTACAAAGAGTTTTGTAAATGTTGTTTTGGCTCAGTGATTTTAGTGGAAGTTTGGGAAAATCCTACTGAGCAGTAGGTCGTGATTTTTTCACCTTTTGAGCCAGGTGTTTTCCACGTAAAAATCTCTATGTTCTTTATTTTCTGTATTTATTATTCCGCAAACAGCAGTAGTTGGAACACCTAGAAGAACCAGGTCCTTCTATAGTTCAGATAAGCAAAAATTGGGTACCACACAAATCACCCCCCCCCCCCTCTTGTGTGGTATTGACGTTTAGACCTGAACGAAGGAACAGGAAGAAGGAACAGGTTCAACCCAAGAAAAACAAAGGATCAATAAAGGCTATGGTTGCTGCCTGGGGAGAAAGCTCAGATGAGGACTCAGAAGGTGAAGATGGAGATGAACAAGCACTTATGGCAATTGGAGAATCCGATGAGGAATCTGAGGTAAGTATAATTCATCTCAAAGACAAGATTAAATTTTTGTCTAAAGAAAGGCTATCTGAGTTACTCCTGGATTTCATTGATGAATCTGAGGATCTAAATAATGAAAAGAAACAATTGTCTAAGGAGTGTGTGATTTTGAAAGCTAAGTGCAAAAATCTGGAAATTAGGGCTAGTGAAAGTGAATGTAAAAATGCTAAGTTAAAGAACCAGGTTCATGAACTTGACACCACTGTCCTAGAGCTCAGATCTGAAAATCTAAAATTGAAATTAGGAACTGGTAAAAAGAAAGCTGATCACACACAACTCACTTTAGAAGAAAATGTAGGAAAAAAGAAAGATGAGTTGTACAAAAGAGATGAGCAAATAAGAGTCCTTAAGGAGGATCTAAGCAAGGTTAAGCACGAGCTAGACAGAACCTGTAAATGGAATAGGTCCTCCGATGCACTTTCATGGCTACATGAACACCATCGTAGCAATAAGAGAGGACTTGGCTACGGGACCCCTGCGCCTAAGTGGGATCCCAAAAGCAAGTACCTCACACTTCCTGAGAACAAAATTTGCACATACTGTGGTAAAACTGGTCACTATAAAAGTAAATGTATTGCAAAAGAAAAGGCTAGTCAAAAGAATAATGAATTTGTTCAAGGGAAAAATAGGTTTCCAAGTTGGGCTAAAAAGAATCTGATTCACCCTTTTGCCTATAGAAAGGGACCCAAACTAGTTTGGGTTCCTAAGACTAACCCCTGATTTCCTTTTGCGGGTCCAAGTGAAAGGAGCAGCCAAACATGGTACATGGATAGTGGCTGTTCAAAGCATATGACAGGAAGCAAGAACCAGGTCCTTTAACTTGATGACCTCAAAGGAGGTAATGTCTCCTTTGGAAATGGGAAGAAATATGAGATCACTGGGGTTAGAAAGGTAGGTAAGACTGATTCTCACTCTATTAAGAATATCTACTTGATAGATGGCTTAAAGTACAGTCTAATCAGTGTATCACAATTATGTGATAGAAGTAACTTGGTACCATTCACCTCTACCAAATATTTTGTGATTAATCTTAGTTTTGTAGGGAAAAAGAGTAAATAATACATACATTGTAGATCTGTCCACACTTTCAGAAAATGAACTCAATTGCTTAAGTGTGTTGGACAATGATCCCCTCCTTTGGCACAAGAGACTTGGACATGCAAGTCTGAGTCAACTCAACAAATTAGTCTCCAAGGATCTGGTGATAGGGCTGCCTAACATCAAGTTCAAGGAAGACAAAGTTTGTGAGTCTTGTGCAAGGGGGAAGCAGGTAAGATCCTTTTTTTAAATGCAAGAAAGTGGTAGGCACCACCAGAGCGATGGAACTGGTCCATATGGATCTTTGTGGTCCAATGAGAACATTAAGCAGAGGTGGTAAAAGGTATGTGATGGTGCTTGTTGATGATTACTCTAGGTTTACTTGGACATTGTTTTTAACATCTAAAGATGAAGCATTTGACATGTTTACTTATTTTGTTAGAAAAACTCAGAAACAACTAGGTAATCAACTTGCATCAATTAGGTCTGATCATGGAACTGAATTTGAAAATGCTAAGTTTGCTAAATTTTTGCATGCTACATCATAAATAGTTGCATGACTAGACCTCTTGTTAAGAAGATTTCATATGAGTCACTTAAAGGGAGAAAGCTAAATATATCCCATCTTAGGGAATTTAGATGCAAGTGCTTCGTGCACTATAATGGCAAAGACTCCCTAGGTAAGTATGATCCCAAAAGTGATGAGGGAGTATTCTTGGGATATTCTTCACATAGTAAAGCTTATAAGATATACAGTAAAAGAACTATGTGTGTAGAAAAAATGTATATGTTATTTTTTTAAAACTAACATTCTTTCTGAGAGGCAGGAACAAGATAATGAAGAGATTAGGCTGATAAGAAATTCAAATGGTGAAACCACAGTCCAGCCTGAAGATGCATCACTGGAAGGAACAGGTGATGGAACAGGTCCCTCCACCCAGGGCAACATGACAGGGGGAACTGACTAGAGAGGAACTGATCCTCAAATCTCAAAGGAACCTGTCCATGAACCTATTCCTCAGTAACAAAGCCAGGAAGGAATCTCCAAAGAAATTGACACTCCTATTGCAACATCCACGAAATTGGATATAGATGAACCTGGTTTATCTGTTGATCAAAAGTTGTATAGGGGAATGATTGGTTCTCTTTTATATCTCACTACTAGAAGACCTGACATTGTGTGCAGTGTAGGTCTTTATGCTTGATTTCAAGCAAATCCAAAGAAGTCCCACTTGACTGCTGTCAAGAGAATATTGAGATATTGAAAGGCACCACTGACCTTTGCCTTTGGTATCCAAAAGGTAGTAACTTTAACCTAGTGGGATATGCTGACGCTGATTATGTAGGTTTCCTTGTGGATAGGAAGAGCAACTCAGGTATGGCACACTTCCTTGGTTCATGTCTTGTGTCATGGGCTACCAAAAGGCAAAATTCAATGGCCTTATCTACTGCTGAAGCGGAGTATGTTGTTGCTGCTTCATGTTGTGCTCAATTGTTGTGGATCAAACAGCCATTATTGAACTTTGGAATTGATGTTGGTTGCATCCCTATATTTTGTGATAACACTAGTGCTATTAGTATGACAAAGAATCTGGTTCATCATAAGAGAACTAAGCACATAGATGTTAGGCACCAGTTTTTGAGGGACAACTATGAGAAAGGCTTGATCACTGTGGAGTTTTGTGCTACTGACAAGAAAATTGCTAACATCTTCACAAAATCCTTAAGTAGAGATCACTTTGAGAGGAACAGGTTGAAATTAGGGATGATTAAGATCACCTAAAAGGACCAGTTCAAGGTTAAACGAAAAAAAGGAAAAAAAAATTGAAAAAAAATTGGTTAGAAAGTCTGTAAATTGTGTATAAGTGGATTAAATCTTGCTCAGTCTCATACTTCCCATAGTATACTTTTGTGCCATGTGTTAAAAATGACTCATTAATCTCTAATGATATTTTCTCTATTTTGGCAAATTTAGACTCACACAAGAGAATTATCAGTGAAGAACCTGGTTCATCAAGATAACACGGTATGTTTTCTACACTCCGCATAATTTGAAATAACTATATTTGGATCATGATCAGAGTCCTACCAAATACCAAACTCCTTTTGGACTTATCCGTTACAAGTGAACCAGTCACGTTCAAAAGAGTCCCAACCGAATGGAAGTACCTAGATTCTAGGGATACACTCCAATGTCTCTTCAAGCTGAATTTCAGTTGGATTAAAACTTCTAAGAGTCTGAAAAGCTGTAGTTACCCCATCAATTATTCCTCTGTATATTGATCAGCTTTAGTGTATTTCTTACTTCATCTCTCTCAAGCCGTCAAAAAAAACTCTCATTCTTCTTCCATATTCCAAACACAATCTAATTCTCTTCTCTTCCATACCCTAGCCTAGATATGTCGAACACCTCTGAAAATCCTTCATCACCACCACAGGAAACCACTTCCACACCTTCTACAACACCAATCTCTAAGAAAAGTAGAGTAAAGATGATGGCTCGTAAGATTGTCGCTGAAGGAGAGCAGATCAAGAAAATAAACAAGTAATTGAAAGCAGGTAGGGAAGATGAATCCTAGAAATCTGAAGATTCATTTAAGTCTGCTACTAATGGGGAAGAAAGCAGGTCTTCTGAAACTGAACAGGTATCTTCTGATTCTAAAGTTACTCCTGAGACAATTTCTGAAGTTGCTGCAAATTTGGAGAATAGATTTGTGCTGGTAGGATATATAGCAGGTGTTGAGACTAAAGAATCTAGAGAAGTTGGTGGTAAAAATAAAAAGGGAAAAGAAAAAGAGAGCAAGGGTGCTAGGAGTGTTGTGAGGGGAAAAGGTAAAAGAGTGGTTGATTCTTCACCCACTCCTGTTGGTCTAACAAAAGAAACTGGTGCAATGGTTGTTTGGGGAGAGGAATTTACTGAAATAGAAGAGAGTGTGAGCAAAACAGGGGGAAGTGGGTCTGGCAAAGCTGCTGAGGGGTTGGTTCAACTTGGGAAAAATATAGATGAACCTGTTCCATCTGAACAGGAAACCCTCGCGGACCTACTGATAAAGTTATCAATGGCACCAAAACTCATGCCATTCCCTATGGTTTCATTCTCGCAACTGTGCTTGCACATTTCAATGTACCTATGAAAAAGTGAGAGGTTAGTACAAGCGTGGATCATTTTTTGGGTTAATACTCTGCTTGCTTGCGATTATGAAGTCAATGTCACTCCTAAAGAACCTAGTTCATCCAAAAAGGTACCAGTAAATAGCAAGGTTAGAGCCTTGGTACAAGAAAGTGAGGCTAAGGATGTTGAGATTGAAAAGCTGAAGAAGGGGTTGGTTGAGGTGGAGACTAAGAGAGATGCTCTCAGAACTGAGCTGGCAAGAGAAAGAAAAAAGGAAGAATGATGGCATTCTTTAAGGTATGCTGAAACCCCTCCAAGCCAAAATCCAAGCACCTAGTTCTTCCAAGCCTTAAATCCGAGCCTATTGTAGATCAACCAGTTACCCAGTTCAGGACGTTTTGTTTTTTTTGCTCATGGTTTCAGTATTTTTATTTCTTCTTATGCTTTGTGATAGAATCTTATGAATCATCAATGAAATTCATTGTTTTTGCTCTAACTGTTTGTTTATATTTCTTTGATGGTAAAAATTCTTAGCTTGATCTATGATGACTAATCCATGATTGCATTTGAAGTAGCCCCAGTGGCCATGAGTAAGCTTTAAATTTGGTTATCCCACATTTTTTATGCAACTTTTCGATGATGCCAAAAGGGGAAAAAAGGTTGTGCTTTGAACAAGTGATGTTTACACTTTGAACAGTGATGTTTATAACCTAATGTACCTGGTCCTTGATGATAAGTGATAAAAAGGAAAAATATATCTAACATTGTGTTGATGTTGAGCTGAGGTGAAACAGGGTCTAAGCTTATGAAAAGCACAGAGTTTGTCATCATCAAAAAGGGGGAATTTGTTGGCCCTATTAAAGGTTAGTTTTGAAGACTGACAAAGTAACTCAGGATGAACCAGGTCCATCACTCAGGTGCACAAAAACGGGCAGATTCGAGCATGTGGGTTGCACGTGAAGGAGATAAGCTTAACTTGGTGTATTTAATATCTCCTGGTCGAAAAGGTTGCATAATTGATAAGGAGAAGGAGTCCTTAATCAAAGAGAACACTATCCAAGATAGGGAAGGAGTTAGAAGTTGAAATCAACTAGAACTCTTCCACCACGGAAGAGTTGCATCAGAACTTTAGTTATTTCTTCATCTACTAACTCTATAAATTGCAGGATGTTCTCACATTAAAGTGTTGCACAAAAAACACAGAAGTTAAACGTGAATTGGGAGAAAAATAGCAAGGGTTTTTGCAAGCAGTTCGTGTGTGATTCAAGTGTGGAAACCTGAAGCTACATGAACCAGATTGAAGAACCAGCTCCATAAAGAGTTTTATGTGTCTTTCTTTATTTCTAGTTCAATTGTAGTAGGTGTTTTCATATTGTACCTTTCAGCTTTATCTAGAAGCAATTGTAATAGGTAATTTGAGTATTCAAGTTAGAGTTAACTTGAAGTTGTCACAGCAGTTAGAGGCTGGTTGCCACAACGGGATTAGAGTTAATCCTTAGGTTTAGAAAGAGTTTTTGTAAATGTTGTTTTGGCTCAGTGATTTTAGTGGAAGTTTGGAAGAATCCTACTGACTAGTAGGTCGTGGTTTTTTCACCTTTTGAGCCAGGTGTTTTCCACGTAAAAATCTCTATGTTCTTTATTTTCTGTATTTATTATTCCGCAAACAGCAGTAGTTGGAACACCGAGAAGAACCAGGTCCTTCTATAGTTCAGATAAGCGAAAATTAGGTACCACACAAATCACCCCCCCCCCCTCTTGTGTGGTATTGACATTTAGAACATCACCAACAATACCAAGTGACGCTTGGCCAGATCTATCCTTCATTCTGGCGAATCGTCAATTTGATCAGATACTTCTCAAGCCAGGTCGAGAGGATGCCGTTTACCCTCGACCATCTGATCAGGCTGTATAGCCCTCGTCTTTATCGAGGTGGCCTGACAAAACTGCAACGTCGATCCTCGAAATCTCTCTTCTCCAGCATCGATGAGGACAAAGACCGAGGATAGATGAGTCGGTTTGTCCGAATCACGACCTTTGACATTATTCCTACTGAGAGGATGTCATTCCCCGAGGAATGGAACATGAAACGTAAGTACATGTCTATCGATGGTAACATTATACCCTGCTTCCCCTTCTCTTTCTCTACTTCATCTTTTTCTCGATCTAATATCTTTCAGATGGTGTAGCTATTGCTTGGTTTCCTGGTGCGATCCCAGATCTCAAACGTTGGGTCAAAAAACTAGCCTCTACTTCCTCATACGCGGAGCGTTGCTGGCGTGACTTGGCCAAGGGTCGATGGGAGGCTAAAAACCACGGTGAGTTCTCTTATTTGTTCACTTGTGTTTCTTAATGAAATACTTACTTTGTGTTTATGCAGGCCTCGGAGACATCGTTGCTATGCGGCCGCCTCCGGCCGGTGAAGAAGAGATCCCAAAGCCTCCAAAGGAAAGAAGAGAAAGAGGGGGTCGCCTGCAAATACTCCGAAGCCGATGAAGAGCACGGCTCGAGAGCCTAAGGCTGATATTCTGACCTTATCTCCAGAAACGGACCAACGCCTTTGGGACCAAGAAGAAGAAGAAGATGACGACTGCCAGTTGGTAGTTCGTAAAAGAGGAAGCATCGGTGCTTCGAAGTCTGCCGAACCGGTGGTGGCAGATGCGGTTCATTCTAGAACCGAAGAAATCTCCGAGGGCAGTTCGAGCAAAGTCCCGAGCCATCGGGCAGCAAAAGAGCACCTCGTCTTGGAGGTCATTTGGAAGGTGAGACCGAGGGGCCCGGTCCTGAGGTCCTTCAAAGAGAAGAGAATGCCCCGAGTGGATCACTTGGGGTAATTAACGTGGATGAGTCGCCGCCTGGTCCCGAGTTCTCCGAGGGGCAATTCCAAGATGCTCGGAACGTGAGAACTCCTAATGCGAAGACGAGCCACGAAGGGCATGATATCTTTCGAGAATGCCTTGTAGGGATTGAAGATGGCCCCGACCCAGATGCTTCTTTCATTTTCGACGAGGCCCATCAGCTCTTTAAACAAGTGAGTTTTTATCCTTTAAAATTACGCCTGCACTTTGTCCTTGTTGTTCTGAATCTAACTTTTCCTTTTTTGTGAAGGCTGTGACACTCCATAAATAGGCATTCTCCAAGTCTTGAGCTGAGCTTGCTCGATGTGAGGCCGAGCTTATGAAAATCTCGAAAGAGAGGGGCGGTCTTAAAACCCTCTATGTCAAGAAAGAGGACGAGATCAGCGATCTTTGAGCCAAACTGGCAAAGGCTCGTCAAGATCAGACCGAGCTTATCAAAAATGTAATATACCCTTTGAGGTTTTGTTATGCATTTGCCCGATTGATCGGCTAAAATTTCAATTTTGCAGGCTCAAAAAAAGGGCGAACTGGTGGAGCAGCTCCGAGAGGAGCTCAGGATGAAGGAGGCCGAGACCCTAGGGTGGAGGCAAGTCATGGACCGTCTCGCCTCGGAGAAAGATACTCTTCAGGAGCAGCTGGCTTCAATCGAATGCTAGCTTCAAAGTGTGTAGGAGGAGAGCTTGGTTCGGAGTCGCAAAATTGAGGAGCTTGAAGCTAAATCTACTGCTAAACTTCCCAAGGCCAAATCCGAAGTAGAGGCATTTATCCTCTTCCAACCGAGCTGATGCTGAAGCAGCTAACACCCGAGAAAAGAAGATCACTATTGCGGCCAAAGTTAAGCTATCATGTTCACTTGACCATGTCAGGCAATATTCTCGGAGAGAAACCCTCGAGGAGGTGCATGCTCGCGGCATCGATCTCTCCGCCGATATTGAAAAGGCAAAGACTTTGGAAGAAGAGGTTGCTGCTTTGCTTTCTGATGACAAGGATTAAGCCAGTGGCTCCGAGAGTGGAGGAGACGAAGATGAAGTCCCCGAGGATGAGGCTCTTGAAGACGCGGCTCCCGAAGATGTAGCTGCCGAAGATGTGGACCCAGAGTAGGTTTAGGTTTCTTTATTTTATTTTTGTGTTTTTGTGCAAAGACCCCTCGTGGGCATTGTAAATATATTTTGTAAACATCTCTTGGAATAACAAAAGGACCTTTTTGTTTCAACTTTAACTTGTGTTGAATTTTATTTTGCCCTCATTTGTGAAAAATTCGACCGTACAACCCAAATGATTAGTTCGAGTATCGGTTTGGACTTGGAACATAATAAACCCTTAGGTTTTTATTGATCATTATAATACCCCTTAAGGGTTTTGTTAATCCTCGAGCTAAGTTTAAATTAATTTGATTCGAGCTCGGGATGCCGAGACTCTTGAGTCCGAGTTGAGTGAGAGCAAGATCCTGAACTCTATACATTTTGGCCCTTAGGCGCTTCCAGGTTGGCCCTTAGGCTCTTTGGGGTTGGCCCTTGGGCTCTTTTGGGTTGGCCCTTAGGCTCTTTGAGTTGGACCGATTCGCCTCTAAAGTGGTTATAATTTCTCTCTCTTTTCGGCTAAAAGACTTAGTGATAATTTTTGTATGCCTTAGCATGTGTTTTTTTTACCCGTTTGGATTTTTCGAAGGTTCGACGTAACGGAACCGTATTAGTATTTTGTTTATGTAAACATATTCGAATACCTCTTGAGGTTGTTTTGAAGGCTGATGATATCAAAGCCTTTAAATTATTTGAGGGCTGATTTTATCGAAGCCCTTTATTTTTTGCTTTTGCCGATGGTAGCCTAGTTTAACCAATTTTTTCAAAGTGTTTGAAGGCCTTTAATTTTATGGAGGGAGTCGGACGTCTCCGAGCCGCATTATTTTGTCTGTAGCCTTATTATATGACCGTAGTCTTTAATATGGCTGTAGCCTTTAATATGGTCGTAGCCTTCGGGGATGTCTTTTGGACTGGTTTCCCGATGACTTTTCGAACTTGTTCGGAAGGCTAGTCCCCGAGTATGTTGGCCTTGGCCTTTATATCGATGGGATGCCTCTTTGAGGTCTTATGAGTCCAAGTTTTTGGTTACTCGTATGCGTTGACTAACGATGAGAGTCCCCGAGTATTCGGGGGTGCATTTGCATTCTGGATCTTGAGTCGTTTCCCGTAGGATTATAAGTGTAGAGCTCTTATAAAGTAGACTTATTTGGGACACAAAATGTTTTTAATATAAACAGAATGCTTCTTCGAATAATAGATACATGCATACATGTTTTGCCGACGGGGCTTGACTATTCTATATGGACATGGTTCATCTAACTATTTGGCCCATTACAAAGTTCTCCTATCAAGGCCCTCTTAGGCGTGAAGTATTTTCCTCGAACATATGACCTCCGAGGGTGATGCCCCCCAGTATTTGAGGTTGATTGAAAAGAACCCTTGGATACTATTGATTTCTTCTAGGGTAGCATATAGTTGTTGCCTCGTTAAAAACCTTGTCGGTAAAACCCAATTAGGAAAAAATCCGATCTAAGGGAAAAAGAGTGCGACGTATGCTTTAAAACCTAAGGCCTTCGTGTAAAAAGGTGCCTTCGATAGCTTCAATTAACACCTGTAATGAGTTAGTTTCAAATTTAAATGGACAAGAGAGATACATTCATACCTTAGTAATAGTATCGTTTGAGTAACGATATGTTCCAATTGTTCGATAGTTGTTCACCTTCCATTGTGCGAAGTTTGTAAGATCCTTTACCAACAACCCCGAGGACTCGGTACGGTTCTTCCCAATTCGGGCCTAATTTACCTTCATTCGAGTATCGAGTATTGAGGGTGACTTTTCGTAGAACTAAGTCCCTGATTCCTAAGTGTCGAATATTAGTCCTTCTATTGTAGTATCTCTCGATTCTTTGCTTCTATGCGGCCATCCAAACAACCGCTGCTTCTCGTTTTTCATCTAATAGCTCGAGGCTAGTATTCATAGCTTCGTGATTCGACTCCTCCGATACATGTCAAAACCTGGCGCTGGGTTCTCCGACCTTGACAGAGATAAGGGCCTCGGAGCCATATACTAAAGATATTGGAGTAGCTCCCATGCTGGACTTCGATGTTGTTCGATATGCCCAAAGGACCTCGGGTAGAACCTCTCTCCATTTTCTCTTTGTATCGTCCAACCTCTATTTTAGGTGTTGAATTATAGTTTTATTTGTGGACTCGGCCTGTCCATTTCTAGTTAGGTGGTACGGTGTCGATAAAATTCCATTTATTTTATGTGCCTCGAGGAACTCCGTCACCTTGCTGTCGATGAATTGTTTCCCATTGTCATATACAATCTCGGCAGGTATCCCGAACCGGCATATGATGTGGTCCCAAATGAAGTCAATAACTTCTTTTTCTCTGACCTTCTCAAAGTCCTGCGTTTCCACCCATTTAGAAAAATAATCAGTCTTAAACAAAATACATTTAGCTTTACTTGGGGCCGTCGGTAGAGGGACGACTATGTCCATTACTTATTTCATGAAAGGCCACGGGGATATGACCGGATGGAGTTGTTCTCCGGGCTGATGGATCATCGGTGCAAATTGTCGGCATTTATCGCATTTTTTGACGAATTCCTTAGTTTCTTTTTCCATGCTATCCCAATAATAACCTGCTCTGATAATTTTGCGAACCAAAGACTCGGCGCCGGAGTGATTTCCACAAGTAACATCGTGGACCTCCCGTAGAACATATTCGGTGTCCCCCGATCATAAACATACCCCCAATGACCCATCAAACGTTCTCATGTACAATGTTCCGCCTTCGCCTAATGCAAACCTAGCAGCCTTGGTTCGTAAGTCCCTCGATTCTTTATGGTCCGATGAGAATTTACCATCTTTCAAATAATCGATGTACTTATTTCTCGAGTCCCAAGTCAAACTTGTTGAATTTATCTCGGCGTGACCCTCTTCAA